TGTGTATGTACGTGTTTATCCGTCTGTCCGTCCGCCTGCCCGTCCGTCCGTCAGTCTGTCCGTCCGTCCGTCCGTCCGTCCGTCCGTCCGTCCGTCCGTCAGTCCGTCCGTCTGTCCGTCCGTCCGTCCATCCGTCCGCCCGTCCGTCTGACCACATGCACATAATTTCTCTCACTATGCGTGTGTCATTATCGTACAGGTGGCTGTCGACGAGAACGGAATCTGGGTGCTCTACGGCTTCAACAAGACCGACGATGACAACATCGTCGTCGCCAAGCTCGACCTGCTGCCCGATCCGCCCTACATGGAGGTTGTGCGCGTGTGGAAGAACATCACGCTCAACAAGCGCAACATGGGCAACGCGTTTATCATCTGCGGCGTGCTGTACACGATCCAGGACGTGTCGAACGAGGATACGGTCGTCAACTACTCCTTCGACCTCTACCAGAACGAGGTGCGCAAGACGGCAATCCGCTTCCACAATCCTTACCAGATGAATAACATGGTCGCTTACAACCCTGTCGACCGGCAGCTGTACAGCTGGGACAAGGGCAACCAGCTGACGTACAAGCTGAAGTTTGTCACGTGAGCGGAAGTGACGTCACGCGCGCGCCAGCCAATGATGCGGTCCCAGAATGCACATCGCTTCCGCCGCACCGATGCTGGACGCGTGCCGTGTGTCACGTGGTGCGTGGCGACGTCGCGATGAGAGTGCACCGCTTGCGGAACTCGTGTTCTTACGTCCGCCGACGGTCGTCGAATGACTCGCTGACTCATATACGGGATCGTTTGCACGCGCGGCGGGTGACGACGAAACCTATAAATGAAACCATCCAGTCACACGTCTCGTCGCTCGCACGCGTGGCGGGCGCCAACCTAGCCGCGTGACGAATTCACATTTGTTTATTGTCCACAAAGACCTGGCGAAAATCGACAAAATATGCAATCAATACGAGCAGACTATCGAAAGCGGGCATAGCCAGCAATACATTTGACAAGACAATTGGCGGCTGGTAGACGACACGCGTGGTGATAATAATTGCACAAACGCGGAGGAACAATTGACAACAAAGACAGCGAGAATGTTCCCTGTAAAAACACGACTGTCGTCGCGAGAGCAACGCTATCGAGAAAACGAGCCAATCAGAGTGAGAGAGAGAATGAATGAGAGAGAGAGAGACAGTCACAAAGAGACAGAATGAAGGAGAGCGAGAGAGAGAGAGAAAGAAAAAAAGAGAGAGAGAGACAGAGGAGAGATAGTGATGTAGATAGAAAGATAAATTCAAAGAGTGAGAGCTAATCGCAGAAAGAGAGTGAGAGAGAGCGCACTAAAACGAGAGAGAGAGAGCGAGAGAGAGAGAGAAAGAGAGAGAGAGAGAGAGAGAGAGAGAGAGAGAGAGAGAGAGAGAGAGAGAGAGAGAGAAGGAGCCCGTGTGAGGGAAAGTGTGCGTGCGTAGATGTGGGCGTGCGGTGCGTGCAGTGAGTGCACGCGTGCGCGTAAGAGAGTGGTGTGTGTGGCGCGCGGTAAAAAAAAAGAAAAAAAATAACATTATACGAACACCGACATGTTCTTTCCCTCGACGTGGGAGAGATATAGTCGACGTCCAACCCCACCCGGCTCACCGTAGCACCCACCGCTGCATTCCCAGCCGCTGCTGTCTCATGGATGCGAACATACTGTCAGATTCATCACGAAATAGCGATTGTTATTAAGTAGCTTTAGCATGTCGCCGTGTTTTCTGTGTGCACGTTTAAGCAGTTGATGCATTATTGAAGGGGGGCAGTTGTTTGTGCGGAGTGCAGACGTGGCGGGTGTATCCGTTAGTGTCACAACATCGCGATAATACTACGGTAACGTTATTATTAGGCGCGACGGAGATAGGCGTGGCACGGCAGACAGGCATGAACAACGTTTGTCATCGCTGATAGTTCGATTAGCTACATGACTGATCAAGCGTTCTGTTCGCTTGCACCGCACTGCAGAAGAGCGCCCATCCTATATCCTAATAGCCGGCGATGCGAGGTCGTCGCAAAATAAATCAACCCGTAGCAAACACATGTCTCAAATAAGCATGCCGAACTGCATCTAGCAGAAAAAATTGTGCGTGAAATTGGTAATTTTTTACGAAGAGCACGCGGTCTTGCGCTGGACAATGAAATATAGTCGTGTACCTAACTAAAATTAAAATTATTGATATGATTCTAGACGCTAGTCTACATTTACAGGCAGGCATTTAACACAACGCCGACGGAAGAGCCAACTTAGCCAGATAGATTTACGCCAACCAGAAAATGTTCCGATGGGTTTGATTACTCAGGCCCAACAAGCATTGACGTACCAGTTCAATAGAATTCTATATTACGCATCGAAAATCTTTCAGCGTAGATAATTAATGCATCTTTATGAATCAGCAGTCTAAAAACGCGTTCGGAATATGTGTTTAAGAATACTACATCTGTATCAATAATAATTAATACCGGGCTGTATAACGTTAGCGATTGCGTCTCGTGAGGCTGGGCAGTCGTGATCTATGCATGTATGAGGCAATGGTAACTCTGTAGCTCAACACGAAGGCCAGAGAAAGTATGAAGAATATTATA